GGAAGTGTATGCGGATGGATATTCTTGAACTGACAACCAGTCAGTCGGTCCACAAAAATGGATAACCTAGTCAGAGCCAGACAATGGCAGAGGAAATACACCCGGGAAACAAGATAGACATGATCCCAATCCTTGAGGAGCTTCTTGTCTAAAAGAGAGAGATACATAAACAAAAATAGCAGTCAATGATAAGGCTACAGAGGAATAACACAGGGTATGTCCAGGAGCTTATTAGAGGTGCACCTAACCTGGAGGGTGGGGGAGCCTGGGAAGGCAGAGAATTGCACGTTCAATGGCCCTGGGTGAGGAAATGCTACCGAATCCAAGCTCGCTCTGCTCGCCGCATGACAGGCCAATAATCAGAGATGAGGTGTTGAGGCAAGGAATACGACTTTATTCGGAAAGCTGGCAGACTGAGAAGATGGCAGACTAGTGTCTCAGAAGAACCATCTCATTGGCGTCTGGATGCCAGTTTCTTTTATAGAACAGAGAGGGGGAAGAAGTGAGGAAGTAAAGTAAAAAGGCCATTTGTCTTGCAAAATACCTCCTGGAATGGCCAGCCTCCAGGAGGGGATATGTTAATTTCTTCTTTCCTGCAGGCATCCGCAGGTGGACAGGGTCTGATTGTCTCCCTGTGAGCTGAACAAAGGCACTTTAGTTTAACATTCAGGTGGAGGGGCAGGGTTCCCCGAGGCAGGCCATTATGTATGCCAATAGCTATAGACAATACCCTTTTAGTGATTATAGCAACAAAAAGCAATGAAGAGCAAAGGTTAAAGTAAAAGAAACAGATCCAACATGGAGTCAGATTTTGTTCTTCCCTGTTACAGAAAGGGAGCATGGACTTCTGCATTCCTGAGCTCCCCTAGACTGTCCACCAGTAACTGTGAGGGAAGTCCTCATTAGCAACTGTGGTTTAAAGGAAAATGTTTTGAACTTGAAGTCAGACCAGTTCTAGATCCACCATTAAAAGTTGTGAGATCCTGAGCTTCCTCATCTCAGTTTCCTTGTCTGTAAATTGGAAATAATAAAATATTTCCATGATTCTAAGTGACTGGAAGCTGCATTATCAATTTAATAAGAAATTTTCAAGGTAAGCATGGAGAGAGAAGTGTCAATTGTAGTATACGTCCCGATTTCAGCAACATTAAAATGTAAAAATACGTACATCATAAAATTAAGAAAATGTGGTGATCTTCCAGAGTTGTTGTGAGGATTAAATGAGATTATATACAAGAATATAATTTCACACTGTGCTGTGGACTGAATGTCTGCATCCCCCAAAATTCATTTGTAGAAATCCTAACCACCCATGTAATATATTAGGAAGGGGGGCCTTTGGGAGGTCCTTAGGTCATGAGGGTGGCTCCCTTGTGAGTGGGATTAGTGCCCTTGTAAGAAGAGACAGGAGAGCTTGCTCTGCCCTCCCTCTCTCCATGTGAGGATACATAAAGAAGGTAGCTGTCTGGCATCGAGGAAGTGTGTTCTCACCAGACACCAGACCTGCCAGTGCCTTGATCATAGACTTCTCAGCCTCTAGAACTGTGAGAAGTAAATTCAGTTGTTTAAGCCACCCGGTCTATGGCATTTTTGTTATAGCAGCCTGAACAGACGAGGACACACTGTCAAGTCCTACAGTGGAAGTATTATTACTTGCCTCACCATCTGCATGAGACCCAGACTTTAATAAAATACTAATGACTTGAAAAAATGGATATGCCGTTCAATCTTGGGATCAAATTTCTTCGTAAGAGTCATTTTTATTAAGGACGTTATATCATTCTTAACAACTAATATGCAGAGGCTTTTAGAACTAAAAGGAAATTTAAAGTTCAATGAATTCTATCCTTAAATTTTATAATAGTAAAAAACTGAGGATCAGAGAAGTAAGATTGCTTTTCTGTATACACATGGTACATGACTCCGTTGGGACAGAAAGAGGACTTTTTATAGACGATGTTGACAACCGTTAGTGATTATGGCTATGGTGAACTCTTGGAATCGCTGTGTAACCTCAGCTCCTACACAGCAGCTGAAGGATGCCAATCCCCCCAGTAAGCAATGCCTTAGCAACAGTGCGGTACAAGGTTAAGCTGAGTTAGGGGGATCGGGGATGATTTAGGGGGATGGGATTGGGGGGGATGGGATGGGGGCAGGTGGGAAAGGCATAGGTGGAGAATTCTGAAGTATGAGATGAGCTTCCTCCCCATGGGAAACAAAATCATGCTCAGTCTGAGGGACAGAGTTGCTGGAATTGTCGGTCCTTCTGTACAGGGGTGTTTCCATACCCCTCCAGGAGCCCTTCCCCCACCCCCACCCCGCAAGCCGTCTGAAAATGACAAAGCAGAGGAGGTCTCTCAGACACATGACCACTGGTTGGGGTGGGGAGTGAGGCATGTCTGTTCACACTAGAACCATAAGAGTTTATTATTTTCTTTGTAGTCACCAGGAAGGCTGAGTTGGGCTGGGGTGAGTGATGATACTGCTAGCATCCCAAGAAGTGCATCTGTGAATGATTCAATCACATACCTACCTACACCCATGTCCCCCCGCCCCGGCCCCCCTCAGCAGCGTAGCAACGCTATAGCAACTCTCTTATCAAAGCACTGCAGGCAGGACGCAGCACTTTGTGGCTCTATCTATAGAAGGCAGATGAGGATGGGGTTGTCACCATTCCCCATCTGGGGATACTGACGCCTGGTTACATCATTGTTCTAAGCTCCCTGCAGATGACGAGAAGTCCAGTCTGTTGTTTTAACTCTGTGTTGCTCTATCTGGCACGCCGTTGGCCTGCTCTTCAACTTCAAGACAAACTGGAAACAGGCTGCCCGACAGTGGGCAAAGCTGAACTGAAGAGTCACAGGATTTTACAGCAGGAAGTCGGGTATGCAATCTGTGTTTACCTACAACGACTTCCTTGAGTTCTCAACACAGAAGTATCATTGCAACCGTCGCTGACAGATGCAGGATCAGAGACTAGGAAAGCGTAGTCAGACCGCTCAGGGTGGGGGGACTGGTTCGTAAAGGAGCTGAGATTCCCACCCGGGATCCTGACTCGCAGAGTTCTGTCAGGGCCGCGTCAGCACGCCTCCCCCCCCAGGGGTCCCCGTGCGCGCAGCCCCGTCCCCAGGCACCGGGCCTGCCCAGGGCTTCGGCTCCGCGCCCGGCGCTGCGGCGCCTCCCCAGCCTTTGTTTGAGTGCCGGAGAGCCCGGAAACAGAGAGAGGCGTGACTTCAATATTCCTGTGGTTTTTGAGCAAGCGATTGCCTAACCTGTGTCTGTCTCACGCCGGCGTGAAGCGTCCGTAGGCAGAGCCGGCTGAGCTGCGAGCGCTTCCCTGGGCGCGCGCGGCCTCCCCACCCATCCTTCCCCGTACACCAAGCAGCCAGGGCCGCGGGTGGGAGGCTCTCCTCGTGGCTGCCGTGGCGGAGCGTGGAGATCTTTTTCATTCATAAAACGAACATCCCCGCTCGCTGCCTTCCCGCCGGCCTCTTGCCGCGCCATCCGCGGCCAGGCAGGCCTGGGTCCCGGGGAATCTGCTCCGAGGGCCAAGGGGCCTAAAGTGGCCCTTTGCGCGTTCCGCCGGGAAGCCCCATTTTATAAACCCCGTGTCGTGTCCTCCCGCTGCAGAGACGACTGACATGGATCGCGGAGGGACACTCGCGACTGAAAAGACGAGATGGCTTGTGGTTCAACTCACAAGTAAAACCTCACCCTTTGACTTCAGGCTGTCCGACATTTTGTGGCTTGCATTTTTTGGAGCGACGGTCAACTGGGCTACCTCTCCATTTGTAAACAACCGGCTTTCTAGGTCCCTGTTGTCCCCCTTTTATGGCGGCAGGTGGGATCAGGGGAGTGGGCGGGAGGGATGCTGGCAGGGGCGGGGCGGGCCAGGTCGCTGCGCTAATTCAAGATGCGCCCTCCATCCAGATAAGAGCTTGCTGTTAACAGCGGTTTTCTCTGCGAACCCTTAAAATTGCCCCAGGACTCCCCTAGCAGCGAGAGGCGAGCCCTCATTCGCCGAGCGGGCCCCCCTCGCCCCTCCTTTACCCCCTCCCTGCCGCTCCTCTCGGCCCTGGAAATTACAACTCCTCGGCGCGCGGCGCCGGCAGGAGGCGGCGGCGGCACGGAGACCGGAGGGGATTCCCGACCCAGCCGGGCGCTCGCCCTCCACCCGCGGGCCGCCGCGTCGCACGGCCAAGGTCACAGGCGCCGCAGGAGCAGCGGCGGCGAACCGGAGCAGCGGGGCCGTGCTGGCCGCGGAAAGAAGGCCCCGGGGCGCGTTCGGCCCGCGTCGGCAGCGGCCGCAGAGAGAGGCGAGAGAAGGTCTCCGGGCCGGCGGGGCCCCCCGAGGTAGTCGCGGGCGCAGAGGCCCGGCAGCTGAAGGCCCCCGGGTCGGCGAGATCGGAGCTCGGGCTCCAGCGTCGGCTCCCGGGCGCTGTCCGCCGCCTCGTGGTGCTGAACCCAGCCGCGGGCCAAGAGGCCTGCTCGCCCGCCTTCTCACCTACAGATCGCCCGGACTGGCGGTGGCCACCGGCCAGGGCAAAAGGGGCCCCTGGGCAGCTGCCCACTGCACCCGAGGGGCTGAAACAGGAGAGCCAGCGAACCTCAGCCCGGCAGCCGGTCCTCATGTGGAGAGGAAACGCGCGCAGCCGCCGGCGGCGGCGCTACTGCTGATTCATCCCCTAGAGCATCTCGCAGGCCACTGCGAGGGCAGCCGACCAGCTCCGGACTCTGGCCGCAGGTTGCAGCCGCTGGTGCAGGAGCCTCGCGGGCAGCAGGTGAGGACCCGCTCTCCTTCCTTTTGCCCCCAGTCGTCCGTGGGCGGTGGCCCCAGGACTGAGAGAGGGGCGTGCCCCCGGCTTGCAAAGCAGTCATGCCCGTGTGACGCGCCCGCCTCCCCCTCACTGGTGCTAGCCACGCTTGCTCGCCTCTGCCTGTCTCCGGGGCTTGGGCCGTTCCACCCTCCGCGCGGAGCCGCTCTCTCCGCCGGCGCAGCGATGGAGGAGGAGCTGAAGTGCCCCGTGTGCGGCTCGCTGTTTCGGGAGCCCATCATCTTGCCATGTTCCCACAACGTCTGCCTGCCTTGCGCCCGAACCATCGCGGTGCAGACCCCGGACGGCGAGCAGCACCTGCCCCCGCCGCTCCTGCACTCCCGGGGCTCAGGGCTGCCCGCAGGCGCCGCCGCCGCCGCCGCCGCGCCCCCTCCGGACCACGAGACGCCGGCTGGCCCGGCCTGCGGCGGCGGCGGCGGCGGCGGCGGGAGCGCGGCCGGCGGCGACCACGCGGACAAGCTGAGCTTGTACAGTGAGACAGACAGCGGTTACGGCTCTTACACCCCGAGCCTCAAGTCCCCCAACGGGGTTCGCGTGCTGCCCACGGTGCCTGCGCCGCCCGGCTCCTCGGCCGCCGCCGCCCGGGGCGCCGCCTGCTGCTCGCTGCCCTCGGCCTCCTCGAGCTCCATCACGTGCCCGCAGTGCCACCGCAGCGCCTCCCTGGACCACCGCGGCCTGCGCGGCTTCCGGCGCAACCGACTGCTAGAGGCCATCGTGCAGCGCCATCAGCAGGGCCGCGGGGCCGCGCACGGGGCGTCCGCAGCCGCTGCCGTGGCCGTGTGCCAGTTGTGCGACCGCACCCCGCCCGAGCCGGCCGCCACGCTTTGCGAGCAGTGCGACGTGCTCTACTGCGCTGCCTGCCAGCTCAAGTGCCATCCATCTCGGGGACCCTTCGCCAAGCACCGCCTGGTGTCGCCGCCGCCGCCGCCGCGCGCGCCCGCCGAGGCCGCCTCTGCGTCTCCAGGCGCCGCCCAGGGCGCCCCCAGCGCAGGCGGAAGCTGCAAGAGCCCGGGTGCCACCGGCGCCGGAGCGGCGGGGGGCGGCGCGGCCCGCAAGTACCCTACGTGCCCTGACCACGAAATGGAGAACTATAGCATGTACTGCGTGAGCTGCCGAGCCCCGGTGTGCTATCTGTGCCTAGAGGAGGGCCGGCACGGCAAGCACGAGGTGAAGCCGCTGGGGGCCATGTGGAAACAGCACAAGGTGAGCGCCCGCGGGGCAGGGCATGGGGCACGGACGCCAAGAAAAGGGCGCTCCCCTTCGTTAAATAAGCTCCAAGTACTCTGAGCTGAGTGTTGGAGATGGGAAGGGCATGGAAGGACGACACCCTAGGTTTCCTCGCGCCTGAGGCTTTATGATTCCACCCAAAAGTCGTCTAGAATGCAGAAGCAGGACTCGTTCACTCCCCAAATTGACTAATAAATTACCTTGATGGCCCCTCTGGGTTTATGACACCTAGGGCCCCCTTCCTCCCTCTAAAAAGTTCATATTTTTTTTTCTTTTCTTTTTTTCTTTCTTTTTTTTTTTTAAGTACAAGTGTTACCACCTGCTTGCAGGAAAATGTCTGATGCCACCCGTGCTTGGTTAATCTTCTCTGAAGGCAGGAAGGATTCTATCCCAACCCTCAGTGAAGGGATACACTATCTCCCTTAGAGCAGAATTCCCATCAGCTTCTAGAGCAGAAAGTTTCCTACTCTCTCAGCTAGTCTCCAGCACTTTCTAACCCCAGAATGCCTCTCAGCTTAAAGGGAAGATGTAATTCTTCATGCGCCTTATTTGAGACTTCGGGCGTGTGCCCCGTTAAGGAGGGAACCCACTGAGAGACCTTCTCTTCCTGGGACTCCAGGTGGCAGGAGTGTGGTGGAGTAAGCACTTAGTAGGACAGCCAGGCGCACTCATCTGCAGGCTGCTGAGGGCCATCTTTCCAGGGACTTGCCTGCAGGTGCCACCTCCCAAGTGGGAAGGAACAGCCGCTACAGGCAACTCGCACACACTTGTGGTAGCCAGTGTATCCTCATAGCTGACACCGAAGGAGAGAAGCCTTCAAACTCAGGGCAGGCCCTCGATCAGACCCCAAGGCAAGAGTGGGGTCAGCTTTTCTAACATTCACCTTAATTTCCTACTCAAAGGCCAGGCCGTGCAACTGGACTCACTGCCGAGGTCAGTGATCCGGGTCCTTTGTTCAAGGACTCCAACTGCAAATTTGAACGTGTATCATTCAGTATCCTCTTTCCAGTAAACTCTTACCCCACAAAGAGGCAGGAGATCTCCAAATAGCCCAACAGGAAGTATGTATTCTGACTGAGGAGGAAAAACACGGGAAAGTAAGGCAGCTTGCCATGGTCCTCTCATATCATCCAACTGGAAATGGACAAAAAGGGGAGCATAGATGGGAGGAGAAGAAGGGACCAAGCATTCATACTATAGATTTATTACATACAGTTACTGTATAATTTCTGCTACAACATGCCTGTTGTTACTGTAACTCAACATTTTCAAACAAAAAAATTAGGCAAGAACAAATGAGGAACACTTCAGAAATCCACCTCGGAAAGGGAAATTTGCATAGTAGTTCAGAAAAGAGCGATCTGGAGTCAAATCCCTAATTCTAGAGCAGCGGTTCTGATTTGGGAACAGTTTCACTCCCCCTCCAGTACATGGCCAGTGTCTGGAGACAACTCTGGTTATCCCACTTAGGAGTTGCTACTGGCATCTAGGGGTAGAGGCCAAGGAGGCTGCTAAACAGGCTACAGGGCACAGAAAACCTCCCGCAAAACAATAACCCAGAAAAATACCAACAGTGCCTCGAGAGAAACCCTGTTGTAAGTTACACAGACCTGGATCCAAATCTCAGCATTTGTAACTGACTGGCTGTAAGCGTTTAGGCACAGTTTGAAGCCACTGAATAACATCTAACTCAGATAATTGTTGTTGGGAGTAAGTATAATGCTGCATGTTTCGCCTCTAGCACAGTACCCAGCTCACAGTAACCGATACATATTATTTATCATTATTGTTATTATAGTGCTAATACCACCAAACTTGCAGAAAGCTATAGGGCAGCAGCAAAGAGTACTTCTTTGACCTCAGTGACTTGGTAACCTGGAGAACGCATGAGCTGGTAGTGTTTATGTTGAGTCCTAAAATAGCTTGGAGCTAAATGAGAACGTCTGCTGAGTGAGTTATCCATGTGATATTTTGTTGCATATTGCTTCAGGGTAATTGTAGCTGCCTTGCTTATTTCATCTTTCAAGTGAAGAGAGTCATTTTACAAATAAAGAACTCTTTTGCAAAGAGACTGTGACCAATTGCCAAGACAAGGTTCACGGGCAGATTTTCGGAGCTGGTAAATTTGCGCAGCCTAGAAGGCTAGAACTAATTCTGGGTGTTGCCAGCCAAACTTTTAGACTTAGTGAAGAGTGGAAACCAAAACGAGTTGAGATGAGTTTGCAGTCTTAAAGGAGATTAAGCCTCTTACCTGGAAAAGCGAGTTGGATAATGACCAAATGGCTTCAAGAACCAAGGTCAGGCAGGGAAGACATTGGTCGTCCTTGAGTTGGTGTCCACAGCAGTTTTATAACATTTCTATCTGAGGAAATATGGAAAGAATATGTGATATTTGCTCAATAGAGTGGGACAGTTATCTGTGGGAAACACAGCTAAGCAGAATCTGAATGTCTCAATTTAATGCCACGTCTTCAGGGAACTAAGACATTCTCTTAAGTCCAGAAGGAATTCTCTGAGATAGTTTTGTGAAAAGCTGTTTTCAAGAATGAGAAGAAGGTCTGCTGTTCTCTTTCAGCAGGTGCTGTTTTTCTACAGAAAGGGGAATCATTCAGTGTTTCTTATGAGCATCTCAACTAGGGGCTGGAGATCAAAAGATAACAGAGGGAGCCTTGATGGACCGTTTGGTCTTGCTTTGTGGGCAGGCGTCTAGACCACCATTGTGAGCTGTGAAGGTGATTACTTTTGAAAGATAAACTAGTGCACTCAATTTCACACTCCCACCAGGGCAGTTTAAGTTCTTTAGTAAAACTTAAAAGTCTCTGGATTTTGTCGTTCTTGTCATCGTCGTCGTCTAAAAATCCCAGGAGCCATGACAAAGCTTGGTACCCTACCAGAACGAGAATCAGGACAGAAATATTTCCCTAACATCCCTGACTGGAGAAGCCTTAAACAAAGCTTTAATTCCTCTCTAGCACGACTGGAGCTTGCCATCTAATTAGTGATTCTTAGGGAGAGAGACATGTAAGTGACACTGAAATCTACTTTGAAACAAGATTGATTATCACTTTTCAAAAAAAGTGTAAACGCACTGCTATATTTAAAATGGATAATCAACAAGGACCTACTGTACAGCAGAAGGAACTCTGCTCAATGTTATGTGACAGCCTGGATGGGAGGGGAGTCTGGGGGAGAATGGATACATGTATAGGTATGGCTGAGTCCCTTTGCTGTGCACCTGAAACTATCACATTGTTAATTAGCTATACTCCAATATAAAATAAAAAGTTAAAAGAAAAAACAACAGTGTAAACACTTTAGGTCTTGGCCAAACACATTTTTAGATGATTCTCCTGGAAGAGGATTAATAATTTCAAAGAACTTCTGATGTGAAGAAACTATACGTTGTGAAAGATAGGACAGGGAAGGGAAGCTTTCCATGAGTGCTTTTTGTCTTTTTGCCTATTGATTGTGGAATTCCAATTTTCCTGAAGGAAAGGGTCCAGAAGGAGAGGGTCACTGTGGGATGTACCTCTTCCTAGTGTGACATGTCACAGAATGTCGGCAACCACTGTAATTCCTGCTGGGTGCAGGACTCTGAATTAAAAATGCTTAAAAGTTGATTCTTGAACTGAGGAAGGGACCGCTGGATAAGCCCTTCCTCAGAAGTCTTTTGAGAACCATGGACAATAGAATAGAATCAAAACAAAAATCTCATTGTACCCCAGGATTACTGTTCCCAATGAGTCAGCACTTCACAAGAGCAAAGGAGATAGTGAGGTCTAGAAATCACAGGAAAGCCAGGACTTCAGGTTACTCCCATGCCCCAAGGACCTGCCAAAGGATACTTGGCTTCTCAGAAGCCTGGTCTTACCTTATTTTATCAGAGAGACAAAGAAAGGCTTTTAGCCTTTAAAGCCTCAGAGGAAAGACTTCCTCCATTAAAAGAGATAACACGTGAATGCCCAAAGCAGAACGTGTAATCATAACTGTATACAATCATAAGTATACTTATTCGAATATTTGTAGTACATCATAACACAGGGAATAGATGCGCTTTGTTAAGAATTAGAATTACAGAGGTAGAGATGTAGAAATTAAATACCAACCCCAAATTCCAGTTTGCAGAGAAAAAACATTTCTAACATTTTGGAGTTTTTTCTTCTAGAATTCTATTGTATATTTATTTTGTAACTGTCTTTCTTTTTTTTCGTCTAATCATACCGTACAAATATCTTTCCTGTCAGTTAATGAACATCACTTTTCCGTTGTAAGGATTTATTATTTTGCTTGATCCACACCCTGATGCTGGGCTCATCTAGGTGTTTTCAGTCTTTTGCTGTTAGGAACATTTTTCAAGTTAAATCTATGCCTTTCTTCTTAATAATCTCCTCAGGTTACGTTTCTAAATATGGAGTTGCTGTATCAAAGGAGAACTGTCTTCCAGACATCTGATGAACGTTGCCAAATTGCCTTGCAAAACGTTTATACCTATTTTTTCTCCCAACAGCAAAATTATATAAAAAATTAAAAATTCATGTAAACAGGGACCATTGGGGGAAACAATAAGGTGGATTGCCTTGTTTCTAGAAATAACTGTTGGCTACTTTCATTACATTATTGTTAGAACTATTTTTTAAAAGGGGATCACAAGTATCTAGATTTTTATATTTTTAACTACCAGTTAGTGATCTGCCTTCCCTCAAAAACTGCTTTAATAGGCATAACTAGTGCCTAAATAGCCCCTTTTGGATTTTAAGACCCCTGAAAAGACCAAGCCTTCAGGGCCCATCTAAGGCACTTTAAAAAAAATTTATTTCTTTATTTTTATTTTTGGCTGCATTGGATCTTCATTGCTGTGCACAGGCTGTCTCTAGTTGCGTCGAGCAGGGGTGTGCGGGCTTCTCATTGCGGTGGCTTCTCTTGTTGCGGAGCACGGGCTTCAGTAGGTGTGGCATGTGGGCTCAGTAGTGGTGGCT